TAATTTTGAAATAGAGGACTCGACTTGCTCAACTTTGCTCAAATAATTTTAAAATATCCTACAATCCCCCATTTATTTTAAAACAATTTTAAACTAGAGGACTCGACTTGCTTAATACTACTTCAAAAACTATTTCTGACACTATCAATGTCGGTACTAATCCTATTTCTCCAATTCCGATTGACCATATGTCAAACCATTTTCGGACGTGTCAAATATTGAAATTTTCGCTAATGAAAATTTCAAAAGGTCACAAGAACAAGTTTTTTCATTGTTCTATGTTTGCACATGCATTATTACATCCACAACTTGGTGCAGACGCTGATAACAAAATTCTGGAATCATGGCAATATGCCAATAAGGTATGTCGTCATACTATATTACAAACTATATCTAACGAACTGTTTGATGTATACTGAAGCTGCAAAGAAGCAAAAGTTATTTAGGAAGGCTTAATTAAAAAGTTCATTGATGAAGATGCTACCAAACAAATTTTGTGGTCGAGAGATTATATCAATGGAAAATGAGTAATGAGAAGGAGATGAAAATTCAAATCAATGAATATCAAAAATTGTTTGAAGACTTGGAGGTCGAGGGGATCACTCTACCAGAAATATTTGTTGTTGGTTGATTGAAAAATTGTCTGACTCATGGAATTATTACAAAAATAACTTAAAGCATAAGATGACAAATTTCACTATTGAGGAAATTGTGACTCACACTCTAATTGAAGCCACCAACAAAAATGAGACATTCAAAGCAAAGGAGTTGGCATTCAAGGCAAACTTAATATAAGGTCAAAGCAGCAATAACAAAAGGTATGGTATTAAGTCTCAAGGTTACAAGTCTTATATTCCCAATATTAAGAAAAAGAAAGGCTCTTATTTTACTTGTGGAAAATCAAGTCAACATATTGCACAATGAAGGAAGAGAACAAAAAATTACAAAGAAAAGGATTATCCCCCAAAGTATAATTTAGCTGAAGGAGATGAAATTATTGCAGCTGTCATTTCTCATGTAAACATTGTAGCACATATAAAAGGATGGGAGTAGACACTGAGGCTACTCGGCACATTTGTGCAAATCGAGAAGCATTTGCCTACTATAAATTAATAGGAGATGATAATGACATGGTCTACCTTGGGGACTCAAGAACTACTAAAGTCTTGGGTAAGGATAAAGTACTCCTAAAGCTCACTTCGGGAAAAACTTTAGCCTTTATGGATGTGCTACATGTTCCTACGATGTGGCAAACCTGATTCCCGTAGCCTTGCTTAATAAATCTAGAGTGGAAGTGTCATTTGAATTTGATAAGATCATACTGACAAAAAATAATGTGTTTGTGGTGAAAGGCTATTGTAACTCGGGACTTTTTGTACTTAATGTTTATGATGTTGTGAATGAAAAAGCACATACTCATGCTTACATGAAAAAGATACGACTCAATAAAATTACAAAATTAGTTATCATGACCCAGTATTTAATTAATCCGCTGTACAGGACTAGGTCAAAATACATAAGGGATTATTCTCCTCCTCTTACCAAAGTATGAACAACAAATTGCTGAATTAAGATCATCATCTTCTTCAAAACAAAATAAGTGAATTAACATTATCTTGTTCAGCAAAAAAAGTCAGATAAAATTACCCATGTTCAAGCTTAAACATAAAAACCCCACTTCCTTTCTCCCTTCAATCTGGATAGATACATCACATACTAACGGTCAAACTGAAATAACTCAAAAAGTCTTTACAAATCGACCACATGAAAGACAGGCAAAAATCCTTTCAGCACTGATGATAATTGAACACCACATACAACTAAATAACAAGGGAAACCCATGAAAGGAAAAACCAAAAAATGCAGAAACCAGATCCCATCACAGAAAACTTACACAAGTATACTCAAAAATCCAAAAAAATTAGAACATGCCTCAAAATTAAAAGATACACAACAAGTGCACTAGCTACAAAAAAAAATCCTAAATGCAGAAGGGATCAATCTCCTACTCTTACATAACAAAGTCTAAACAACAAATTGTTGAATTAAGATCATCCTCCATTTATAACAAAATAAGTGAACTAAGGTTCAGCAAAAAAAGAGTCAGATAAAATTACCCAAGTACGAAATTAAACATAACCCCCCCCCCCCCCCCCCCCACCCCCCACTTTCTTTCTCTGTTCAGTCTGGATAGATACATCACACAATATAACAAAAGAAAATCATAGCACAATCAAGTTAGATAAAGAGAGAAACCCATAATCATACTTGATAATCAGAAGAAAAAAAAACCCATAAAAAGAAGAGAGTATGTTACCAGGAAAAGGTCTTCAAGAATATGTTCAGGTAAGAAAGAGAGATCAGAATAGGATGAGATATGAAGAAGCGCAGAGTCAATAGCGAGAGAAAGAAGGGAAGGCGGGTCGGTTCTCATTCATTTAACCCTTAAATTACTCCGATACTTTCTCTCTCACACTCTTTTACACATGTGACTCACTCAACACAACAAAGCACTTGTTTACATCTAAAGATTTGTATGTTAATGGGAGAGAGATATGGTGTTGGAAGCTACCAGGAAATTCGGAAAACCAGTATCTGAAGATTTTTTTTTCTGCTTCTTCACCTTCGGTTTTTTAATTTAGAAATTCACATAACTAAGTCAAATATCATATTTTTTTGTTCTCTTTCTAATGTTTAGATCCCGAATTAGAGTTTTAACTAAATTTGAATTGTACACTACAAAATTCATTTGGGAATAAGGCTCCCGACAAATTTCTCCATACTCAAGGTTCGAATCCGAGACTTTGGTTAAAAGTGGAGCAGTTTCATTACTGTACCATAAATCATGTTGGTAATCAACACCGTATTAATTTTATACAATGATAATTTACCTCATAATCAGCTACGAAACATAGTATTAATTAGGGGTGACCATGATATGGTATACACTGATTTACCATATCATATCACATTTTTTGACAACATGATTTTGATATTATGATATTTGGTATGGTATATGATATACATTTTACATTTTTTTTAGTATTCAGTACGATATTTGATAGTTAGAAACAACATATTGAATACCATACCGAAGTATATAGTTACAAATAACATATATATTATTGAAATACTAACACATATGCAACCTAGTATTAGTATAAACTAAATATTTAGAAGTTAAAACTTTGATTAATCTAAAAAGTTTAGGGAATACTTATACCTTATCCCTAAAAAAAAGATAAGATAAATATGTTAGAACTAGAGGACGAAAGTCAAGAAAAAATTATATTAATTTTTTTAGGAAAATAAAAATAGTTCTTCTTCTTAAGAAAGAAGATGAAGTCCATTGAGGGGTGTCAATGGTTGTAGTAAAAACCTAACATTAAGTGCTTACCACTCAAACCAATATCATACTTGCATGGAGAACCTCAGGTAATATGGGAGGTAGAAGAAGTCAATCAGATGATTGTCAATGAAAACCTGGAATATGCCGTTATTGGGAAGTTTTCGTATGGATGGCCTGATATACAATATCTGAGGAAATTGATTCCCAAACAATGTGAACTAAAGGGAGAATGCAATATAGGTCTGCTTAGCAACATACATGTTTTGATAAGGGCTACGTTGTTGGAGGATTATGTGCACCTTTTATCAAAGCCGGCATTTTACATCACACAGAATAATTGGTCTTTCCCGATGAGAACTTTAAAATGGGATCCAATGTTCAATCCAGAAGAGGAGACAACAACAACAATTGCATGGATCTCTTTTCCATCTTTGCCTCCAAAATTTTTTGGAGAAGAGGCTGTTTTTTCACTTGCAGCGGCGGTAGGTAAGCCTTTACAGGTGGACTTGGCAACTAAGAATCAGACAAGGCCAAGTTGTGCAAGGGTAAAGGTAGAAGTAGATATGCTAAGAGATTTCCCAAAACGAATTAAAATCGGGATGAGAATGAATAATGAAGAAATAATGGAGAAATGGATTAAAATCAAGTACAATTATGTGCCAAAGTACTGTCAGACATGTATGATATAGGGTCACAATGAGGAACAATGTTTTGTAGTGCACCCAGAATTGTACCCAAAGGAGAAAGTAGGACAAGCAGAAGGGAGGAGAACAGAAAGATTAGAGATAAATCATATAGCCAGGAAAACAGACGTGAAGGATCCAGAAAAAGGTGGAAACCAAAAAATCAATAAAGAAGAAGATTTTGTAGCGAGACGACATAAAAAATGGGGTGGAGACAAACCTAGACAGCTGGAGAAGGTATGGAACAGGGTTGGAGTGGTTGGAGTGATTACTGGAAATAAATTCAATATTTTGGCGAAAGAAGGACAAAAGGGAGGTGATGAAGGGGAGAAAAATATTTTGCCGGTTCAGGAAACAAAAGAAGACACTCCTGGTGTACAAATGAGTGATAACAAAGTTAAGAAGTCCAATAAGTAGGAAGACACAAATGAGAATGACCCGATAGAGATGGACAGTCAATTAGGAAAGAAAGACACAACAACATCAGAAGAAAAAGAGGACATGCAACAGGCAAAATAGGGTGCAGGCAGAACAGGAAGAAATACTGAGGAAGATACTTCAATAAATAATAATTTTGTGGAGAATAATTATGTGGAGTTAGAACACAACAGGGAGGTAGTGACGACTGATATAATGAAAGGTCCAGACTTAATAGAAGAAGATGATGAGGTTTTACAACACAGAAAGGACACGGAGGAGGACGAGGACATGAAATATAACATACAACAAATTAGTAAGGCAGGGGATTTATCACCAAGGCACACTAATAGCTTGAAACAAGGGGCAAGGAAAGGAAAACAAACACTTCCTATACAAGTCCAAACAAGGAGTAGCAGGGGGAAGACATCGAATAGTGATCAATGATTGAAAAAATTCTTTTTTGGAATATTAGGTCAGTTAATACTCAAAAATCTTTTGAGCGATTAATGGATCTAAATAAAAGACATCATTATTCATTCATAGCTTTAATGGAGCCTTTTCAAAATCCAGTGGAGCTAGATCAATATAGAAGGAAGTTAGGCTTTGAGTATGCAAGGGTAAATTGCTCTGGAAAAAAATGGTACTTTTGGAGGACTGGTTGGGCAGGTAGCATTATTCTTGATACAATGCAGCAAATAACTATCAAGTTCAAAATAAGAAATCATTTTTTTCTCATCACGACAGTGTATGCGAGATGCATTGCCTTGGAAAGATTAGAATTGTGGGAAGAATTGGAGGATATAGCTAGCAGGGAACAATGTCCATGGGTGGTGGGAGGTGATTTCAACGTAATTCTTAATGAGGAGGAAAAACTAGGAGGCCTTGATTTCACTCAGAATGAAGTGCTAGATTTTGCCTCTTGTATTACCACATGTGCTTTAACAGAGGTTCCCACATCAGGAAGTAAATATACGTGGTGGAATGGGCGAATTGAAGGGGAATGTATTTTTAAAAGGCTGGACAGAATTCTTGTGAATCAAGAGTTTATGGATCTTCTCCCGTCATCAGAGGTGCATCATCTTATTAGACAGGGGTCAGACCATGCTCCTTTGCATATGATTTGCAATTCAGATGCGGGGACAACCATAATGCCCTTTAGGTTTTTGAATTTCTAGAGTAAACACAAAGATTTCAAGAAAATTATGAAGGAGAATTGGAATGTGGATTTTGTTGGAAACCCATTGGTTGAATTTCAAGCTAAAATGAGGAAAGTTAAAAAAGCGCTGTCTTCATGGAGCAAGAAGGCGTATGGAGATGTATTTAAACAAATTGTCACCATAGAAGATATGATAAAGGTGAAAGAAGCTCAAATGGAGATACAACCATCTGAAAGCAATAGAGCAGATTTGAGTAAAGCTGAAGCAGAGTTGAAGAAATTCTTGAAAATTGAAGAAGAATTTTGGAAACAAAAGGCCGGGATGAAATGGTTTTCTGAGGGGGATGGTAACACGAAGTTCTTCCATTCTTATGTTAAGGAGAAAAGGAAGAAGCTACACATTGTTGAAATAGAGACAGAACAGGGGACAATTCTGCACTCGAATGAACAAATTGGTCAAGCAGCAGTGAAACATTTTGAGCAGCAATTTCGTACAGATTGCTTGGCAACTGATTTTGGCATGATTGAACACATTCCAAGGAATATATCAGATGATGAAAATGAGGTAATGACTAGCTTGCCAGAACAAGAAGAAGTGAAAAGGGTGATTTTTGAATTAAATGGGGGAAGTGCTTGTGGCCCGGATGGATTTACAGGACATTTCTTTCAATGTTGCTGGGAAATCATAGGGGGAGATGTTACTAAAGTGGTTAGAGCTTTTTTCTGTGGACATGAACTGTTAAAGAGCATTACTCACACTAACTTAGTGTTATTGCCTAAGAAAGAGGTAGTACAAAATTTCTCAGACCAAAGACCTATAAGCTTGAGTAATTTTTTAAATAAGATCATTTCCAGGGTGTTACATGAACGAATTATGGTGATCTTACCCAAGATAATTTCTCCAACACAATCCGGGTTTGTGAAAGGAAGAAGTATTACAGAGAATGTTATGTTGACTCAAGAGATCATTAGAGATACGAATAAGAGGAACAAGAATGTTAATGTGGTTGTTAAATTGGATATGGTAAAGGCATATGATAGAGTATCATGGATTTTCTTAACCAAAGTGATGAGGAAATTTGGTTTCTCAGAAATAATTATTGATATGATATGGAGGATTATGTCCAACAACTGGTTGTGTTGATTAATGAGAGGGTTCATGGTTTTTTCTAATCATCTAGAGGATTGAAGCAGGGAGATCCACTGTCTCCTACTTTGTTTATTATTGCGGTAGAAGTCCTTGCAAGAGGACTTAATAGTTTACATGGGGACACAAATTTTAAGGGATATGGATTGCCGAAGTAGAGTCCTAAGATAAATTATTTATCGTATGCAGATGATACAATTCTTTTTTGTTCTGGGGAAAAAGGGTCAGTGATTAAAATGATGAAGGTGTTAAGAGACTATGAATGCATATAAGGGCAAATGATTAACAAATCAAAGATTTGTTTCTATTTACACGAGAACACACCTTTGATTGTTGCAATTAGATTGAGAAGGTTAACAGGAATAAGGCAAGGGAATTTTCCTTTTATTTATTTGGGTTGTCCAGTGTTTTATGGGAGGAGCAACTCATGGTACTTTGAAGAGCTAATCAGAAAAATTGCGAGGAGGATTTTCTCATGGCATAATAAATTCCTTTCTTTTGGTGGTAAGCATGTGCTAGTCAATCATGTGTTGCAGTCAATGCCTTTATATTTACTTTCAGCCATGAGCCCAACCAAGAAAGTAATGGAGCAAATACATCAAATATTTGCGAAATTCTTTTGGGGTAAGGCTGAGGGTATTAAAGAAAAACACTGGGTGGCATGGGAGGAAATGTGCTTCCCAAAAAAGGAAGGAGGAATTGGTTTCAGGAGAATTCAGGACATAAACAAAGCCTTGTTTGCTAAGTTATGGTGGAATTTTAGAGTTTCCACAAACTCACTATAGGCTGAATATATGTGGAGTAAGTACTATAAAAAAATTGCATCCGGTAATGGCTAATAGTATTGGAGCATCGCAGGTATGGATGAAGATGATTAAAGTTAGGGAGGAGGTGGATCATGACATTTGGTGGCAAGTCAAATCTGGAAATTCTAGTTTTTGGTTTGATAATTGGACCAGGCAAGGGGCCTAATAGTATGGAAGGTAGTATTGACAGGGCCTGGTGGGTTCATACCACTACAGGGGACTTTTCTGTTAAATCAACTTATCAAATTATAAGAGGCAAAAATACTGAGAAAAGTTGGAGTAAGCATATGTGGATAAAGGGTCTTCCTTTCAAGATTGGTTTTTTTCTTTGGAGGGTTTGGAGGAGGAGAATAACAACTGATGATAACCTCAAAAGAATGAAGTTGCAGGTGGTGTCCAAATGATATTGTTGTGAAGAGGGACAAATGGAGACTATGTCTCATTTATTACTAACAGCTCCCATAGCCCAAAAGCTATAGAAACAGTTTGCTTCTTGTGTAGGTATTAACATATATGGAGTTAACTTAAAACAACTTATTTACAGATGGTGGGAGCACAAGATGTCAAGTAAGTTAGATCAGATTTTAAAGGCAGTCCCAACAATCTTAATTTGGGAGTTATGGAAAAGGAGAAATTCCATAAGACATGGACAGAAGATTTCTTATAATTACTTGTATTATCAATGTCAGTTGGCACTACATCAATTGATAAGGGTCAAGTTTCCATGGATTAAAGGGATTCCACATCATTTGCCTGCAATGGTGGATATACTACAAAACTACAAGCCCAACATATACTATCTTATAGTAAGGTGGAAGATGCCAATGGAGGGTTGGATTACCTGCAACACTGATGGAGCTAGTAAAGGCAACCCAGGTCAGAGTGCTTATAGTTTCTGTCTCAGAAATAGAAGTGGTGATTTGTTATATGTTGAAGCTCAGAGTATAGGGAAAGATACCAACATGAAGGCAGAGGTCAGAGTAGTGTGGGAAGCATTGACTTTTTGTATCAGGCAGGGTCAGAGCAATGTGGGAAGCATTGACTTTTTGTATCAGGCAGAGGTATAATTATATTCAGTTGGAAACGGATTCATTAGCGGTAAAGAACATGATTGTGAAGAATTGGAGAATACCATGGTCAATATCAGAAAGAATGGATGACATACATGCTATGGTTGAACAGATCAATGTGCAAGTGCAACATATATTCAGAGAAGCAAATCAACTAGCAGACTATATAGCAAACACATCTATTAACAAAGAGGCAAAGAAGGTATTCTTAAATTTTAATCAGCTACCAAGCAGGGGAAGAAAGCAAGGAGATTTAATATTGACAACAATGAACAACATGCCTAGTTACAGTGAAGAGACAAAGTTCCACAACTATATGTACAGCTTAAATATTAGCGTTAATTGGAGCAAAAGAGCTGTAGGGGGAACTAATCTTAAGACTAAACTATGGCAGCCAGCAAAAAGTGATATAGAGATCAGCAAAAAGCGAGAGTACAGGGGCCAAACCAGCACGGGAGAACCTTTCTCGTGTTCGACTTCACCTACAGATCGAGGGTTTCACTGTCAGAACCAGAAGAAAGGAACAACAAAAATGGGATGGGAGCAGCTGGATTACACATATTTTCAAAGCTGAAAAGAAGGGCTATACTCTATATCAATTTCATCACGAACTTGGACATTCCAGCTGGACAACTCACCTTCAATATAGCAAAAGTCAACTGAAAAGAGAGGCGATGCAGAAAGGAGAAAGGAGGAATGCAAACCTTTGTTAGCTGAGGATAACAACAAAGATGTTAATCACCTAATGAAGGAGCATATCCAAAGCAGAGCTAAAAGGAACGAGGGAGAATTTTCAAAGTTTAAAGGCGGCGAAAGGAGGAAGAAGATAGAAGAGGAAAATGGAAGCTGAAAAAGCATTTAGGAAATCTTACTGTGGGTTTGTCTAGTTTAAAACACCTGCTTTGGTCATATTTGGGCCGACCAGGTTCCGAATTGTATGTTTGAATGGCCCATTTCGGATAGTTTAATAACATGGACTCCGAGTCCAAATTTAGCTTAAAAAAATGAGTTAGAACATATGACCTCAAGGAACTTTCAAAACACCTTAACTACTAGACTAAACTTTTAACCTGTGTTAAGAGGTCTCAATACTTATTTAAATAAAAAATTGACCTCTAATACTAAGTAATTTTCCGACAAAGGGGTGTCGCTTGACACTCCTCGATAAGGGCGGGTCCGCCCATGCATGTACACATACCATAACTTGGAAAATAAACAATCATCACCTACCCAAAATAATTTATTCTTGATATTTCTGCTCATAACTCGATTACTCATAACTATCTTTTCCAGCATAACACCAAACAATCACTACAAGATTAACATTAACTAAGTCAATCTATCCTTAGCCTAAAAGACAACTAACCATACATTCAATCATCCAAATTTCATATCTGAAGGCCTATAATGCAATTTTCGACAAACCATAAGACATGATATAAGTAAAAATAGGTCTACAACTGAGTAAAGAAAAATCTAATCTATTTGGACGCCAAGCAGTTGTTGAAGAACTTTGAACCAAATTATATAGCTCAGTGGGGCGATTCCTAACGAACGTAGACCAAAATTTCATGGGTGTTGACCTTCCTTGTACTGAAATTCCTCCCCTCCATTGTTCTCAAGTTTCAAGTGGCCTAGCAGAATTTTTGGAAGAGCCCTAACCTATTTTACCACTGAAAGAGGGGAGGTCAATTAAAAGAAATCGTGTTTTCCGAGAATTACCCCCCGCCTACCTCGCTATAGCGACTAACCTACCGCCATAGTGGAAATGTTTCTACTATGATAGGATAACGTTAGGCTGGATCAACTTTTAAATTTTGCGATTTTATTGTGTCACCCCAATTTTAAATTGTCAACATACTCCAAAAGATTTCAGGACTCCACATGAGGTGCCCTTACAATAACAACAGATCATATGTCGTTACAAGTAGTGGTGGCAAATGGGCGAGTTGGGTCAAATTTGAGCGGGTTGAAAATGGGTCAACATAAAATGAGTAATAATTCAACCCGCCCATATTTGATATGGGTAAAAATGGATTGGGTAACAAATGGGTTGGGTAAAATACTAGTTTACCCATATTTTCATGAGTAAATATTACTCTACTTAAGAATTCAACATGGAGAAAATATTTTAGTCTTATTTTAGATGAAGTATGTTGAAAATGCTTCATTTAGTTTTATTGTATCATAAAAGTAAAAAAAAAAAATCCAATAACTTTTCAATATAAAATAGATTTATGTTTTCCTAGAAAATGTTTTCCTGGAAAACAAGTAGATTTTTGACTTATTTTCTCATGTTTGGTTGGTGAATAAAAAATATTTTTCGAAAAAGATTTGTAGTGTTTGGTTTATGAATGAAAAATATTTTTGAGAAATATCTTTTATTTTTACTAGAGTAGAAAATAATTTTTGAAACTGAAAATATTTTTTAAAAACAAACTTAATTTTTTTTTCGGGATTGGTGGGGGGGGGGGGGGGATCGAGGGTAGGGGTGAAAAAATAAAAATTTGAAGTTGAAAATATTTTTTAAAAATAAACTTAATTTATTTGGAGGGGTGGGGGGATGATAGGGGAGTGGGTGGGGGGGGGGTTGATGGTAGGGATGAAAAAATGAAATTTTGAAGTTGAAAATATTTTTTAAAAACAAACTTAAAATTATTTTTTTGGGCGGTTGGGTGTCACGACCCGAGCCTACACTCTGGACGTGGCCGGCACTCGAGAACCATTGTTGGTCCCCAAGCGAACCCTCATCCTAGCTGACTTTAAGCGGAAGACTAACCTAAGAATACAAAGCTTAAAAACTGAATAAATTCAATAAACTCAACTTTTCAAAGCTTTAACTCAAATGAGCTAGAATAAAATAATATATTCAACTCGCCATGAAATAGGCAACTTAAGTCTTTAAACATTTAATAAAATAAATGAATAATACAGACTTCTCAACTATACTGACTATCTATGAAGCCTCTAACTGATAAAGATGAAAGTCGGGACAAGACCCACGATATACTAACAACTGATATAACTGAAAGGTAAATGAAATCCTCCGAAAGCAAGGAGGTTTACCATAGCTAACTCGAACTCTCGGATGTATCAACGAAGCTCCTGTTGATGATCCTGAATACCTGTGTCTGCATCATGAGAAGATGCAGGACAAATGGCTCAGTACGTGGAATAAACGAGCATGTAAGAGGAATTCTAAAGCATAAACATAAGCTTGAACTTTGATAAAAAAGAAACATACTTACCTCTTCTCAAACTTACTCAACTCAAGGAATACTCAAGGATACTCAAAACTACTCAACTTCCTCAACTCAGAAGTATTCAAGGATAAGATACTCAACTCAGAGATTAGATACTCAACTCAAAGATATGATGTTCGACTCTGGGTACTCAACTCTGGATACTCAACTCAATATGACTGAACTCATTTCAATATAAAACAATTTAAAACAAGTGCAATATAAAGAAATAAACTGTTTAAAAACATGTTGTCAACTCAGTGTGTATGCAAGGATACAACGTAACTCTGAAATATATGTAAAAATACAATTAACTGTGTATATAAGAATACAATTACTTTTGTGAGAGATTCTCTAACTGACAACCATCACTATGAGCCTAAGTGATGGTACAACGTTTTACCTCACGTTGCCAAGGACCGTCCTATACCTTGCCATCGGTATAAAACCTGAACTACTAAGTGGATCCACTAGTCTATGCTAAAAATCACTAAGGAATCATCTAAAAAGTATGATCCTTTTTCTACCCATGATGGATACATGGTTTATGGAGACTTGAGTTATCTGAACTCGCATCCCCATATCGGTGTTCAATACTACTCCCAAAATATACTTAGCTCATATGTTTGTAAAAACAAAACTCTTTCTGTAATTTGAGATAATTGCTCAAAAACTTAGCTCAAAGGCTATCTTGGAAATCAAGGTTTCCTCTCTTGCTTTATTGTGAAAGCATTTACTCTGAGATGGTAGTCGCATCAAATGGTAGCATGCAGGTGGACAAGATGACTTCTGTGACTTAGTTACTACAAGGAGCGGAGTTTTTTTTTGCTGATTTTCTATTATTACTTTTAGGTTCTTGTGGAGTTGTGTTGAGGGTCCAATGGCTACTAACGTTAGGTGATATCAAGTTGAATTTCAAAAATTGAGCAATAGAGTTTTGGTACAAGGGAAGGAAGCACTTATTCAAAGGGTTTGGCAGTCTAGTGTTAACTCTTAGTGTTGGGAAACTGACCAAACATTCTGGAAATTAGACTCAGCTTTGTATGATTTAAGTAATTCCTCAGGGAAGTGATGAAGACAAGTGGCCTCCATTAGATGTAGCAGCTGATAAAGATCCTGAAGAAGACCCAACATTACTAGAGGTATTGTCAGAATTTTCTGCATTATTTAAAGAACCTGCTGGTTTACCACCTTGTAGAGGTGTATTTGATCATAGGATTGTGTTGCATTCTAGAGTTGAACCTATGAATAAGAGACCTTATAGATATCCTTCGGTAAAAAAAGATATTATTGAGGGTCTTGTACAACAAATGTTGGATCAAGGGATCACTCAACCTAGTTGTAGTACTTTTGCATCACCAGTGGTATTAGTAGGCAAAAAGGATGGCACCTGGGACTATGTGTAGATTATAGAGACTTGAATAAGTTTACTATAAAGAACAAGTTTCCAATCCCTATGTAGAAGATCTATTGGATGAACTAGGAGGATCCAAAATATTTTCTAAAATAGACTTAAGGTCTGGATACCATCAACTAAGAATGACAAAGGAGGATGTGCCTAAGAGTGCTTTTAAAACACACTCATGATATTTTGAATACTTAGTCATTCCTTTTGGTTTATCAAATGCCCCAACTACATTTCAAGGTTTGATGAACACTATGTTCCAGAATTTTCTAAGGAAGTATGTCTTGGTTTTTTTGATGGCATACTAATATATAGTAGAACTATGGAGGAACACATATTACATGTGAAGTCTATTTTTAAAAAATGGTGGAGCATCAACTATTTGCCAAGAAAAGCAAATGTTTCTTTGGTGTCCATAGAATTGAATACCTTGGTCACTTTATCACAGCAGAAGGTGTTTCTACTGATCCTCAAAAGATCAAAGTTGTGAGGGATTGACTTGTCCCAACTACTCTTAAGCAATTAAGGGGCTTCTTAGGCTTGGCTGATTATTACAGAAGATTTATACAGGGATTTGGAGTTATTTGTAAACCTCTTACTGATCTAACTAAAAAATATAAATTCAAATAGCACCATACAGCTCATGAGGCTTTTTTGCTATTGAAGGAAGCTTTGACTCAATCTCATGTATTAGCTTTACCTGATGCCAACAAAACTTTCATTGTTGAAATCGATGCTAATGGTTATGGAATTTTTGTTGTTATTATGCAAGAGGGACATCATATATCCTTTATTAGCAAATCATTATCTCCAAGACATGTTGCTCTGTTAGTTTATGATAGAGAGTTATTGGCCATTGTCCAAGTTGTTACTAAGTGATCTCAGTACTTGTTAGGTCAGAGGTTTATTATTATAAAGACTGATCAAAGAGCTTTGAAGTACCTTATGAAGCTTGCACACAAACTCACAGTTATTATGGTTAACAAAGTTGATGTCATTTGATTATTCTACTGAGTACAAAAAGGGAGTTGAGAACAAAGTAGTTGATGCGCTATCGAGAGTTACTGGGGTTGATTTACTTGCTTTGGTGATTTCCCCAACCAACACTGATCTCTTTCAAGATGTTGTGGATAGTTGGCACTCAGACCCAGAGCTTACACAGTTGATTGCAGATTTACAAGCTAATCATGACTCTTATAAGCAGTTTACTTGGTTGCAAGGCCAATTAAGAAGGAAAGGAAAACTAGCGATTGGTAAGGTACATAGTTTAAGGAATAACATTATGTCCCTATGGCATGCTGGCCCTCTAGGAGGTCATTCAGGTGTAGAAGCTACCCTCAAGAGATTGTTGACACTATTTTATTAGAAGAACATGAGAACAGAAGTGAAGGGTTTCATTCAAAGGTGTGATGCTTGTCAGAAGAACAAATCTAATGTAGCTGCTTACCCTGGGTTGTTACAACCATTACCCCTTCTTGAGGTGGTGTGGTCTCAAATTAGTATTGACTTCATTTATGGTCTTCCCAAGTCTCATAGCTGTAAGGTGATTCTGGTAGTCGTCGACAGACTCAACAAATATGGTCATTTCCTCCCACTAAAACATCCCTATATTGCTTAATCTGTTCCCCAGGTGTTCTTGGATACTATTGTGAAGTTATATGGCTTACCTGATGCTATAACCAGTGATAGAGATGTTGTGTTCCCGAGCTCTTTTTGGCAGGAGCTATTTACTCTTCAAGGGGTATTGTTGCATATATCTACAACTTATCATCCTCAGTCTGATGGACAAACTGAAGTGCTGAATAGATTCCTTGAAACCTACTTAAGATGCTATTGCAGTGATGATGCTTCCAATTGTTGGCTTTTTTTCCTATGGCTGAGTATTGTTATAATACATGCTTCCATTCAGCCATACAAACCACACCATATGAAGCCTTATATGGCAAGACACCTCCTCTATATCTCCCTTACTTACCTGGTGAATTAGCTTCTGCCGAAGTAATTAACACTACCTTGGTGAACATAGAACTTAAGTTGCAACTCCTTAAGCATCATTTGCATAGAGCTCAACTCCGAATGAAGCAACATGTATATTCTTATAGAAGTGAGTGGCATTTTGTTGTGGGGAATTGGGTCTACTTTAAGGTTCATCCTTACAAATAAGTGACTATCTCTCATCACTCTTCTCATAAGCTTGCTGCTAATTATTATGGTCCCTTTCAGATCATTAAGAAGGTTGACCATGTGGCCTACACTCTTTTGTTGCCTAGTTCTGTCAAGATTCACCCAGCTGTGCATGCCTCGTTGTTAAAAAAGTGTTATGAAGTGCCTTCCCACGTTTCTTATCCTCCGATTGTTGATCTAGCCAATAAAAATTTCCCTACTCCAGAGTCTGTTTTAAAGTGAAGAATAGTCAAGAAAGGCAACAAAGTTGTTGCTTAGGTATTGGTTAAATGGGTTGGTCTTCCCGCTGATGTATCCGCTTGGGAATTTTCTACCATCTTGAAGCAAGGTTTCCATCCTTTGATCCTTGAGGACAAGGATCTTTTGTATGGGGAGTACTGTTACAGTAATTTGGGAATTCAAAAGTTAGTAGACAAAGTTAGTTAAACATTGTCAAGCCATAATAGTCAATATAGTGGTAGCTAGTTAGATGTTAGTTGTAATTGATTTGTTAGATAAAATAAGTCCGTCAAGTTCTTTATAAATAGACATTGTAATCATCACTTACATTCATGATATGTAATATACAAATTTCTCTCTCTCTTTCTATTATTCTTCTTCTTCATTACTAACTGTTGAGAAACTCCTGAAACAGTGCTTCGATCCTCGAATTCATTGCGAATTCCTGCAATCGAGTAACAAGAAGTTGTGTAAGTTGGAGGATATATATCATATATTATTATAAGTGGGAAGCTCCAACTTTCAAAGTTGGATTACCATTTTACCCCTCCACTAAATCAAAATAAAATTAGTTAATTTATTGAATACTAATATTTTAATTACATAATGGTAGAATATGAAGTCCAACAACTACACTTTAATTATTTAGTTATGCTATTATAATTATAATTGATTAGGTTAAATTCAATTAGAGTAGAAGGCAAAATAATGTATGAAACTCTTCCAATTCGGTGACTCTTTGAATTTTGAAACCAAAATAAAATTTATGTATCATGATTCAATGTGCTCAATTAGTACATTTTGGTAGGTGAAAAGACAGTCAAATATCACTATAAATACCAGTAAATTACTCCCTTGATCATCATGTTTTTTTCTTTTCGATCATCTATTGTTCTCTTTTCGTCTTCCTAGGTAATAATATAAATACATGTCGTCAATAAGCTAACTAAGAGAAAAACAGATAGCTTCATTCTGAAATTAAAAAGAGAAGTTTTCTTACAATATAGTTCAAGTGTTAAGCTTAGAAGTATAAATATGACCTATATATTCCTTTAGATCTTTTTTATGTTAGCTTATGATTTTAAGTTTTTCTTTTCCATTTTGGAGTTAAGGTGTGGTTGTCCAAAATAAATTTGGTATGCAACCCATATTTTTATGTAATTTTGTATCATTTTGCATTATTATGAAATTTTTTTCTTTGTTTTTGTGTTATTATTCTTTTAAGTGCTACTTATTGACAAAACTTCTATCAATACATGACGAGTTTGATGATACTTGAATAGTTTATGCAAGATGCTTTTGTTTAAATATAAGTAATTTAAATAAAGATTGCTAAAAGATTATTACTTTGAATGAAAGATTTTGATTGTGTTACTTTATAGTCTATCTAACATAGTGTTGCAAACACATACATATATTGTTCATTTTCACCCCTTATGTTTCAATTTTATTTTTCTACAATTTATACAATATGAGATTTAACAATTTAATTTTCAGATAAAAATGAGAGTTACATTTATGCGACACTAAGCCTAATAGTTTTCTTGAATATAAGCGTTCCATATTAACAATAGCTTTCCGTAGTGTTAATATTCAAATGGTTGGTATGATGACAATTTTACATTTGGACATTTTGGTTATTTCTTTATGAATTCCTTCGACCCTTAATTGTTACTACTAAAACCTATTCCTCAAATTAAAATCATGTAAAAAAACTTATGAGAATGGAGTAATTAAGCTTCATTTTGTTTTGATTTTAGTAATATAAGTCAACAAGTGTAACATCTCGCAAGTTTAAATAGCTAGGAAGAAGCTAAGAATTGGAAATAGTCATTTTTGGAAAGAACTGTAAATCTGGAAATTTGTTTAGGTTAGGAAAAATGAGTTTTTGGTCAACTTCAAATGACCATAACTCCTAGATCGGGATGAGTTAGGTGTACTTCCAGATATGGTTGGAAATATCTTGAAATGATCTTTCCAACGCCGCCAAGTTTATGCGATTTCAAGTTCGTATGAGTAAGTTATGCCCTTTGGAAGTAGGGATGTTGGATTAAGGAAATGTCCAAATCCGGATTTTTGAAGGGTAGTTTGGTCTTTTCCTTACCCTTTTATTTTAATTCGTTTTTTGGTAATTACTTAGGGGTCTAAACTGAACTTAGTCAGTTTAAGCTTTTGGAAAAAAAAGTTAGGGTTTTGAGAGAAGAGAAAAGAAGAGGAGAAAAGAGGAGAACGTTCAAGATTCATCAAGATCGTCGAGTTTGGCTTGTGGATTTCGTCGGGGGTGATCCCTACAAGGTATGTGAGATCACATAGCGTTGGTTAATTCACCCATGCACCAATCATGATTTATTTCAGCGAATTGAAGTTCTTGAAAGCTTAGAAATTGAGTTCTTGAATGGGTTTGTTGAAGTTTCATTAGATTCTTGTTTCGTTGAATTCGTTGAGGAGTTGTTTCATCCTAATCTGTGATTTTAGGTTCAATTTTGAGTAGAATCTGATGTACTTTGAACATTTAATCAAATCTAAGTATTGGGTAAAAGAACCCACGGAGTTTAGAGGGTTTTGAGCCGAGAAATGAAGAAGAGATTTCGTCAGACAAAATCCGACATCAGTGGCGCGTCGCGGAGCTGGTTCCCAGTTTTGGGAATTTTTGTTTCGCATTGCGGAGCCGTCACGGAGTCTTCTGCCTCAAAATTCATTTTTGAAACTAAAAATTAAATATGTCTGCAGCGTCGCGGACCCACCTTCAGATATTGATTTTTGGCCTTTTTCTCATGTTTAGCTATCTAAATTCAATCCTAAACATCATGAGAGCTTTCCTATCACAAATCACGATCCTTGAATCCATCATTCAATTTAAGGATCAGTTAGGAATCAAGTCAAGAGAAGTCAAGAAGTCAAGAGTTAAGTTAAGAGAAGTTCATAAAGTTTCTTTTCTTAAAAGTCTTTTACAAACATTTTAACTTTGTTTTAAGAGACTTAAGTTTTGTGTTGAGTAAAGAGTAAAGAGTAAAGCTTGAAGTTCATTTCTTCAAAAGCATATGGGGACTATGTATTCCCAAAAGGGTTTAAAATGTTTTCACATTTAAACAAGAAAAGAAAACCTTGATTTCCAAAGAGCATTTGAGCTAGTTTTCAGAAAAGAGTAAATGCATTCATAATTAAGCAAGAGGGGAAACTTTGATTTTCAAGATAGCCTTTGAGCTAAGTTTTGAGCAATTATCTCAAATCACAGAAAGAAGTATGTTTTAAACATAAAGAGCTAGTATCATATTTTGGGAGTAGTATTGAGCACCGATATGGGGACGAGCTTGAGTTCAGATAATTCACGTCTCCATAAACCATGTAGTCATCATGGGTAGAAAAGGGTCATACTTTTTAGATGAATCCTTTTTGCATAGACTAGTGGATTCACTTAGTTAGTTAGTTCCTATGCCCTTGGTAGGGTATAGGATGCACTGGCAGCGTGAGGGAGATCGTTGTATCATCACAATAGCTCTTATGTGATGGTTGTCGGTTAGAGAAACTCCCACAACAGTACTTTGTATTTTTATATACATCAGTTTATTTGTATTTTTACATATATCTTAGAGTTATTTGTATATTTGCATACACAGAGAGTTGACATCATGTTTTAAACAACTTTTCTTTATATTGCACTTATTTTAAACTGCTTTATATTGAAATGAGTTCAGTTATGTTGAGTTCAGTTGAGTTGAGCCTATGGCTGGCAACGGGACCGGAACCGAGACAGATCGGAACCGGAATGGAACCGGGCACCACAGGCCGGAACCGAACCGGAACCGGGACGGACCGGAATCGGTAATTACGGAAAAAAATCCGTGTACCTGTCCCGGACCGGACCGGAAACCGGGTCCAACTATTATAAATTATAATTTTTTTATTAAAATTAAAAAATTAGGAACATTACACTTAAAATTTTATACTTTTAAAGTTTTAAATACAAACTTTCAAACTTTTAAAAGTATAAAAGTTTAAATTTTACAATTTAAAACTTTGAAAATTTAAATTCAAACTTTAAAACTATAAAAGTTTAAATTTCACCCTTTAAAAGTTTGAAAATTTAAATTCAAAGTTCAAACTTTAAAAGTTAAAACTATAAAAAGTTTAAATTTCACACTTTAAAAGTTTGAAAATTTAAATTTAAATTTCAAACTTTAAAACTATAAAACTATAAAAGTTTAAATTTCACACTTTAAATTTTAAAAGTTTGAAAATTTAAATTCAAACTTTAAAACTAGAAAACTATATAAGTTTAAATTTCACACTTTAAATTTTAAAAGTTTGAAAATTTAAATCCAAACTTAAAACTATAAAACTATAAAAGTTTAAATTTCACACTTTAAATTTTAAAAGTTTGAAAATTTAAATTCAAACTTTTAAACTATAAAACTATAAAAGTTTAAATTTCACACTTTAAATTTTAAAAGTTTGAAAATTTAAATTCAAACTTAAAACTATAAAACTATAAAAGTTTAAATTTCACACTTTAAAAGTTTGAAAATTTAAAACTTTAAAACTATAAAAGTTTAAATTTCACACTTTAAAAGTTAAATTTGAACTTTTGAAGACAATAATAAAAAAAAAATTAAGGTGAATAGCCTATACTTTTATTAATATTAATTAAATAGTACAAGTTGAGTTACAAAATATTAGTAGAGTATTAAAAAATCTAATCTATACAGCCACCTTCTAGGAAGGGTTCTGTTTGAATTAGACCTCGAATTATTATACTCATACTAATAGACATTTAAATTTAATAGTTCATGCTACCAAGGAAATCTTTTTTTAAATCATTTAACATTCTAGTAACATGCTCTGGAATTGGTTGATTAGCTAGTTCTTCCATTGCATCAATGCCTTCATCACTAAAATCTTGCATTATTTCATCAACCTCATTTTCAAATTTGGTCGGTAAAGGTGGACGACCATAACTCCTTCTCTCGCCATTAATCCAATCTCTAAATAGTATGGATATCTCCAAGCTATCTGCTGCTAATGAATATCTATGCTCTCTAATTTGAAATCTTGCTGCACTAAAAGCGTCTTCCGAAACTACTGAAGATGCTTGAATAGCTAACACATCTCGAGCAACCGGTTGAAGTTTTGGAAATCCTTGGCCGCGATTGCTCCACCATTCTAGAAGATCAATAGTAGTAGGTTTTGTATTTTGATTAATATATGCATCAAAATCATTTCTATCATTATGAGAAAGTTCAATAATACAATCTATCATATCATCAATATCATCTTCATTATTATATCTACTCCTAGAACTTTGAGGCTCTTCGTTATGTACTACATTCCTTATATTAGAATTATACAAGTCGTACAATTTTCTAGCTTCAATTTTTATACTATCTTTAACATCTTGACAACTAAGTGTTTCATCATCTTCACTATCAATACCCAAATTAAAATATATTTTATCAACCATTCTTGATGCACCTTCATCTTTGTAATGTGGGTTTAACAAACAAACAGTTAAATAAATTTGAGCAATAGGAATAAAATATTTTTTAAATTTTTCAATCATTTTCTTAACAGATTCTTCAAATCTTGGTTTATTTTTGAATTTATAAAATTTACTAGAAATAACACAAATATTAGGTAAAACAGAGCAAATAGTTGGATAATAAAGTGCAGATATTTTTTTTGTAGTTAAATAAAAAACTTTTAAGAATTCTATAAATTCTTTTATGTCATTCCAATCATTATCATCAAGTCTATATGTCATATTTGAATTATGAGCATTCCTAACCATTTGTAAAGGTTTCCTATATTCATAAGCAACTTCAAGCATTTCAAATAAATAATTTCATCTAGTACACACTGATTTTGGAATTTTTCTAGGTGGAAGATTAAATTCACGACAACGATTTTCAAAATCTCTACGTCTAGACTTAACTTGACATTTAAAAATAAAATGACATGCAGTTTCAACTTTTGTGCAACCATCATCATACATTGATATACCATCTCTAACAATCAAATTATATATGTGTGCAGCACACCTAATATGAAAACCATCAATATAAATAGGGCAAAGTGACGGTTTTAGTATTTCAACAGCAGTTCTATTATTAGAAGCATTATATAATGTGACACTACTTATTTTATCACAAATTCCATAGTTTTGCAAAACATCTATAATTGTTTGAGCTATATAACTACCGGTTTTATGCATTTCACAACATTTATAACCTAAAATTCTTTTTTGCAAAGTCCAATTTTCATCAATCCAATGCGCAGTAATAGTGAAATAATCATTACCATTTACACTACGGCCCATATCAGAAGTAATAGCTATTTTACAATTGTTATAATAAAATAAACAACGAAGATATTGAAAATGTTGAGCTTGATAATCAAAGATAGCCTTTTTAATTGTATTTCTAGTAAAACCTTTAAAATGTGGATTATACACAATTTGAATATAATGAATAAAACCGCGATTTTCAGCAAAACTAAATGGCAAACCCATAACAACAATCATTTTAGCTAATTCTTCAAGATCTTTTTCTCTACTATATGACCGTTGTATACTAGAACCATAAACATTAGAAGGATTTAATTGTATTTGGACCATATTAGAGCCCTCTACTCCTACATTTTCAGGAAGGGTGGTACCATTTTTTTAGCTTCGGCTACAGCTTTAGCATGCAAAAATTCATTTTTATAACATGACATTAAATGATTACTCAAATGTCCCGTCCCACCCTGTTTTCCTACAATTTTATGATTCATTCTATGTTTACATTTATTACAAATAGCTTGTGTTTTATCTTCATTCTGAGTCATAAATTGCCACACAACTGATTTTTTAGCGCGTTCTACCTTAGTCCTAGGATGCACGGGGGGAACGGGAGAAGGACAACGAAAGGGAGCGGGAGCCGGGGAAGAGGGATTGGGAGTGGGACTAGTAGCCGACGGTGGCTCAGTTTCATCATCATCATATTCATCAACATTATTATCAAAACTATCAACATAAGCATTAACATCATCATGTTCATCATCTTCAGGTAATTCCTCTTCAAAATTACCAAATCTTCTTTGTAAATGTTCATGATAAGGATCTAATCCACTATTACTATCAATATTAAAAACAGTTTCATCAACATGTGTATAATCATCCGTCCTTATTCTTAATTGAGAAGTTTTTTTAGTTTTAGATTGAGAAGTACTACCGATTTTTTTATTTTTCTTGGATTTTGAGCTAGATAAATTAGTGAACGAATTAACTATGGTTGTTTTACCCTTTTCAATAATGTTTTTTCCGAAATCCATATTTAAATATAAAAAGTGAGTAAATTATATATAATACGAAAATGATTAGCAAAGTTTTAAACAAATAAATAACTAAATAAGTAGAGACTAGAGATTAATTACTCACAAAATAAATAATTAAATGCAAACAAATAAATAACTAAATGAAAAGTGAGTTGGAACGAATGTACCAAACGCCTACTTTTTTTAAGTAGACGTGTATGACCGGAAGCCGAAAATTGAAAGTTGAATTTTGAAGCTCCAATTTCCAAAGACCAAATTCGTAATTTTAACGAGAATAAGAGAATTTAGAGAGTAGAGAGTAGAGATATGAGAAGATATTTTTGTGAATGAAAAGAATGAAAGATTAGGGGTATTTATAGTTAAAAAAAAAAGGATGAAAATGTAGTTTTAAGAAGGTTGGGGTATTAAAAAAAGTTTGGGGGGTAGGGAGGTGTAAAATGGGAGTTATGGGGGTGAAAGAGCCGTTGGTGGGGCCCAAAACCCGTTGCCCAATGGCTATAAATTTTGAAATTTCAGATAAAAAAAAAAACTGTTCCGAACCGGACCGGAACCGGGACTAATCGGACCGGGATGGACCGGTAAATCCCGGTGTCCGTCCCGTTACCCCTCCCGGACCGGCACAATATCGGATCGAATCGGTACTATCCGGAATCGAGACGGAACCGGTACCGGGACCTCCCGGTTTCGTTGCCAGTCTTAGTTGAGCCAGGTAAGTTCTTCAGTTCCTTTCAGATTCTTTTCAAGCCTATGTTGTGTTTAGCATTCCAACTTGCCAATCGTACATTCAATGTAATGATTCCAATTGGCCTGCATCGTATTATGATGCAGACCCAGGTAACTAGGATCGGCTTCCAGCGCATCGTTGATCCAGTGAGCACTTCAGAGTCTGTTGGTGCCTCTTTGCATTTCGGAGGATCCCTTTTGTTTACTTTTAGTATTAGATAGTTCATTAGGATGTCGCGGGCCTGTCCCGACATCCATCTCAGTTGTTTTAGAGGCTTCATTGATAGTCAGTCAGATGTTAGTTCATTCGTCATCATTTTGTTATTGACTTATGTTCAGATTTGAGTTGCCATTTTGGCTAAGTTAAATGTTTATGTTCAAAACATTATGAGTTTAGTTTGAGACAATTAAGTTGTTTAGCATTTGAATTCCTTTCTTATTGCATATAGTCTTCCGCTGAGTAAGTAAGCTAGGCCAAGGGTTCACTTGGGGACATCAATGGTTCTTGAGTGCCGGCCACGTCCAGGGTGTAGGTTCGGGGTGTGACAAACTTGGTATCAGAGCACAGAGTTCAAGAGTTCTAGGGAGTCTATGAAGTCGTGTCTGTAGAGTCCTAGTTATCGGTGTGAAGCGCGCCACATCTATAATTAGGAGGCTGCAATATTTAGGAAAATCTCTCACTTCTTTCACACTCTTTTCGTGCGTTAGAGTTTGATCTCTAAAAAGTTTCCCTCTAATTCGTGCTTGCGCGTGTTTGTAGATAATCATGCCTCCACGAAGAGCAGTCAGAGGTCGTTCTTCTAGGAGAAATATCGAGGAACAAGGGGTTCCTAATGCACTAGAAGTGCAACCCCAAGGAGAGGTCACCAAGGCTGAATTCCGTGAAGCTATTCGGATGTTAAGTCAAGTTGCGACCTATCAAGTTGGAGAGAGAGATAATCGACAGGAAGTGGCTAGTACTTCAAGGATCCGTGAGCTTTTAAGGATGAACCCACCAAGCCTCACAGGTTCAAGTGTCACTGAGGATTCAGAGAACTTCATTGAGGACCTGAAAAGGGTATTTGATGTGATGCATGTTGCTGATGCGGAGAGGGTGGAACTAGCATACCAAATGAACGGCGTCGCTAGAATCTGGTTCAACCAATGGAAAAAGAATAGGGTTGAGGATGCAGCAATAGTGACTTGGGATGTGTTTGAGAGTGCTCTCATGGGGTGTTTCTTTCCCCGTGAGTTGCGAGAAGCAAAGATAAAAGAGTTTCTCACCCTTAATCCGGAGTCTATGAGTGCTCATGAGTACAGTCTGAAGTTCACACAACTTTCCCGCTATGCTCCGGAGATGGTTGCGAGGAGTAGGATAAGTTTATTTGTTGCTGGGTTGTCTCGTCAGTCAAGCAAGGAAGGCAAGGCAGCTATGCTGATAAGGAATATGGACCTAGCAAGGCTTATGATCCATGTACAACAAGTTGAGGAGGATAAGCTGAATAATAGAGAAGAGTTTAAGAATAAGAGGGCAAAGACATCAAGGAACGAGTTCAGGCAGCAAAATAGTAGTGTGAACCGGTCTTCTTTCCAATAGAAACAGAAGGGACATGCCCCATCATCTGCTAGTGCACCTGCACCTAAGAACAAAGTGAGTACAATAGTCAGAATTCCCAAAGTTTCTGAGCTAAACCTGTTTATTCTCAAGGTAGTATTGCACAAAGTGGTAGTAAGCCTCCTGCATGTACTAAGTGTGGTAGGAACCACTCATGGATGTGGCGTGATGGCTCCACTAGTTGTTTCAAGTGTGATCAGAATGGTTATTTTATGAGGGAGTGTCTTGAGAACAGGCAGAGTAATGGTAAAGAGGGTAATAAGGCCCAGTCTTCTTCAGTTGCTTCACCAGATAGAGGTGCACCTAGAAGAGCTACTTCAGGTATTGGCGGAAGAAAAAGCCGCTTATATGTTATCAACAATCGCCAAGAGCAAGAGGATTCACCAGATGTTGTCACTGGTATGATCCAAGTCTTTGATTTTACTGTTTATGCTTTGCTAGACCCAGGAGGGAGTTTACCTTTTGTAACTTCTTATGTTGCTATGAATTTTGATGTTATTCCTGAACAACTTAGTGAACCATTCAGTATTTCTACACCTATTGGTGATTCTATTCTAGCAGAAAGAGTTTATCGTGATTGTTTCATTTTCGTCAATCATAGTAGTACCATGGTAGATTTTGATGTCATTCTAGGTATGGACTGACTTCATGCCTGTTATGCCTCAGTTGATTGTAGAACTCGAGTTGTAAAGTTTCAGTTTCCAAATGAGCTAGTCTTAGAATGGAAAAGCAGTTCAGCAGTGCCTAAGGGTCGTTTCATTTCGTACCTTAAGGCAAGGAAGTTAGTTTCTAAGGGGTGTGTCTATTACTTGGTCCGAGTTAATGACTCTAGTGTTGAGATACCTCTTATTCAGTCAGTTTCAGTAGTAAGAGAGTTCCTAGAAGTCTTTCCAGATGATCTACCCGGAGTCCCTCCTGAGAGAGAAATAGACTTCGGTATAGACCTTCTTCCAGATACTCATCCTATATCTATTCTGCCATATAGAATGGCACCAGCAGAGTTGAAAGAGTTATAAGAGCAGTTGAAAGTAAGGGAATGTGATATTCCAAAGACAACACTCAGGACCCGTTAAGGTCATTCTGAGTTTTTGGTCATGTCGTTTGGTTTGACTAATGCACCAGCAGCGTTCATAGACCTTATGAATAGAGTTTCAAACCTTATTTAGATATGTTTGTTATAGTCTTCATTGATGACATACTAATCTATTCAACGAATGAAGAAACTCATGCTAGCCATCTCAGAATAGTTCTTCAGACTTTGAAAGATAGGAAGTTGTATGCCAAGTTCTCTAAGTGTGAGTTTTGGCTTGAGTCTGTGGCATTTTTGGGCCACATAGTTTTCGGTGATGGAATTAGAGTTGACACTCAGAAGATAGAGGCAGTGCAACACTGGCCTAGACCCACATCCCCAATGGATATTAGGAGTTTCTTGGGGTTGGCTAACTATTATAGAAGGTTCGTCGAAGGGTTCTCATCTATTTCATCTCCTTTGACCAAGTTGACTAAGAAAATAGTTAAGTTTCAATGGTCTGAAGCTTGTGAGAAAAGCTCTCAGGAATTGAACTACTGCCCCAGTATTGACCTTACCAGAAGGTATGCAATGTTTTGTGGTGTATTGTGATGCATCTAAAGTTGGATTGGGTTGTGTGTTAATGTAGAATGGCAAAGTTATAGCTTATGCCTCTAGACAGTTGAAAGTTCATAAGAAGAACTACCTAACCCATGACTTAGAATTGGCTATTGTAGTATTTGCTTTGAAAATATGGCGCCATTATCTTTATAGTGTTCATGTGGATGTGTTCACCGATCATTAGAGCCTTCAGTATGTGTTCACTCAGAAGGAGTTCAATCTCAGACAGAGGAGGTAGATAGAATTACTCAAGGGTTATGACATGAGTATTCTATACCACCCAGATAAGGCTAATGTTGTCGTTGATGTCGTAAGCAGGTTGTCTATGGGTAGTATTGCCCATGTTGAGGAAGATAAGAAAGAGTTAGCAAAATATGTGCATAGACTTACATGATTATGAGTTCTACTAATGGATTCCACAGAAAGAGGAGTGGTGGTGATGAATGGGACTGAATTATTATTAGTGTCAGAAGTAAAAGGAAAGCACGACCAATATCCTTTATTGCTTGAATTAAAGGCAAGTGTTCATAAGCAAAAAGTGATGGCTTTTGAACAAGGGGGAGATAGTGTTTTGAGGTATCAAGGTGGATTGTGTGATTGGGTGTACCTGAGAGTTTCACCCATGAAGGATGTTATATGGCTTGGGTAAGAAGGGAAACTTATCCCCCAGTATGTTGATCCTTACAAATTTCCAAAAGGATTGGCAAGGTAGCTTATGAATTGAAGTTACCACAAGAGTTAACATCGGTTCATCCGGTATTCCATGTCTCCATGTTGGAGGAGTGCATGGGAAATCCTTCACTTATCATACCAACCGAAGATATTGGTATCAAGGATAACTTATCTTATGAGGAGATTCATGTTGAGATTCTAGATTGCCAAGTTCGCAAGTTGAGAACAAAAGAGGTAGCATCAGTCAAAGTTCATTGGATGAACCAATTTGTTGAGGAGACTACTTGGGAAGCTAAGGAAGATATGAGAAAGAGATATCCACATCTCTTTGAGTCCGGAGAAAATGCAGACGAAGGTACTAATTCTCTTCTTAGTACTCTTTAAATTATAAGTTAGCATGTTGTAATTGCCTTGCTTGTTGGGTGTTTGAACATGATGTTGCCACCCTTTGCCTACTAAGAGTAATCTCATTCGAGGACGAATGTTCCCAAGGGATAAGTATTGTAACATCTCGCAAGTTGAAATAGCTAGGAAGAAGCTAAGAATTGGAAATAGTCATTTTTGGAAAGAACTGTAAATCTGGAAATTTGTTTAGGTTAGGAAAAATGAGTTTTTGGTCAACTTCAAATGACCATAACTCCTAGATCGGGATGAGTTAGGTGTACTTACAGATATGGTTGGAAATATCTTGAAATGATCTTTCCAACGCCGCCAAGTTTACGCGATTCCGAGTTCGTATGAGTAAGTTATGCCTTTTGGAAGTAGGGATGTTGGATTAAGGAAATGTCCAAATCCGGATTTTTGGAAGGGTAGTTTGGTCTTTTCCTTACCCTTTTATTTTAATTCGTTTTTTGGTAATTACTTAGGGGTCTAAACTGAACTTAGTCAGTTTAAGATTTTGGAAAAAAAAGTTAGGGTTTTGAGAGGAGAAAAGAAGAGGAGAAAGGAGAAGAACGTTCAAGATTCGTCAAGATCGTCGAGTTTGGCTTGTAGATTTCGTCGGGGGTGATCCCTACAAGGTATGTGAGATCACATAGCATTGGGTTAATTCACCCACGCACCAATCATGATTTATTTCAGTGAATTTAAGTTCTTGAAAGCTTAGAAATTGAGTTCTTGAATGGATTTGTTGAAGTTTCGAACTAAAAATTAAATATGTCTCCACGTCACGGACCCACCCGCAGATATTGATTTTTGGTCTTTTTTCTCATGTTTAGCTATCTAAATTCATCCCTAAACATCATGAGATCTTTCCTATCACAAATCACGATCCTTGAATCCATAATTCAATTTAAGGATCAGTTAGGAGTGAAGTCAAGAAGTCAAGAGTTAAGTGAAGAGAAGTTCATAAAGTTTCTTTTTTTAAAAGTCCTTTACAAACGTTTTAACTTGGCTTTAAAACTTAAGTTTTGAGTTGAGTAAAGAGTAAAGAGTAAAGCTTGAAGTTCATTTCTTCAAAAGTATATGGGGACTATGTATTCCCAAAAGGGTTTAAAATGTTTTCACATTTAAACAAGAAAGGAAAACCTTGATTTTCAAAGAGTATTTGAGCTAGTTTTCAGAAAAGAGTAAATGCTTTCATAATTAAGCAAGAGGGGAAACTTTGATTTCCAAGATAGCCTTTGAGCTAAGTTTTGAGCAATTATCTCAAATCACAGAAATAAGTATGTTTTAAACATAAAGAGCTAGTATCATATTTTTGGAGTAGTATTGAGCACCGATATGGGGACGAGCTTGAGTTCAGATAATTCACGTCTCCATAAACCATGTAGCCATCATGGGTAGAAAAGGGTCATACTTTTTAGATAAATCTTTTTCGCGTAGAATAGTGGATCCACTTAGTTAGTTAGGTCCTATACCCCTGACAGGGTATATGATGCGCTAGCAGCGTGAGGGAGATCATTGCATCACAATAGCTCTTATGTGATGGTTGTCGATTAGAGAAACTCCCACAACAATACTTTGTATTTTTATATACATTAGTTTATTTGTATTTTTACATACAACTCAGAGTTATTTGTATATTTGCTTACACAGATAGTTGACATTATGTTTTAAACAACTTTTCTTTATATTGCACTTGTTTTAAACTGCTTTATATCGAAATGAGTTCAGTTATGTTGAGTTGAGTTGAGCCAGGTAAGTTCTTCAGTTCCTTTCAGATTCTTTCCAAGCCTATGTTGTGTTTAGTATTCCAACTCGCATATTGTACATTCAATGTACTGATGCCAGTTGGCCTGCATCGTATTATGATGCAGACGCAGGTAACTAGGATTGGCATCCAGCGCATCGTTGATCCAGTGAGCAGTTCAGAATCTGTTAGTGTGTGCCTCTTTGCATTTCGGAGGATCCTTTTTGTTTACTTTCAATATTAGATAGTTCATTAGGATGTCGTGGGTCTGTCCCGACATCCATCTCATTTGTTTTAGAGGCTTCATAGATAGTCAGTCAGATGTTAGTTCATTCGTCATCATTTTGTTATTAACTTATGTTCATATTTGAGTTGCCATTTTGGCTAAGTTAAATGTTTATGTTCAAACCATTATGAGTTCAGTTTGAGACAGTTAAGTTGTTTAGCATTTGAATTCCTTTCTTATTGCATATAGTCTTCCGTTGAGTAAGTAAGTCAAGCCAAGGGTTCACTTGGGGCCAACAATGGTTCTCGAGTGCCCGCCACGTCCAGGGTGTAGGCTCGGTGCGTGACAACAAGATTATTTTATTAAAAGTGCTAACTAAAAAGTCCTTTAAAAGTATATTTATCATTTATTTTTCTTTATAAAAAATTAATTGTCTATTAAATTTAATTGGAAAGACCTTTCATCTACCTTTAGACCTGTACAAATTCTATGAACTTTTTATTTACAAGTTTAATATGTGTCATTTATTTATTTTCTTCACTTTTAGCTTCCAACCGTTTAAACATATCATATTCTTTATCAAATTATATATACCTTATTCAATATTTAATTGATGCACATTAAATATTCAATATATATATATATATATATATCTTAGGTAAAGTTACACGTTATAATTCTCCTTTTATAGATCTTGATCAAATTCACAAAAAAATAATAATTAAAAATACAGATTATAATTCTCCTTTTATTTGTCTATATATTTTAATGTGATGTCTTTTATTATGGATGTCATGTCTTTATTTACTTTTCTTTCTTTTATGTTTGAACTTGTAATATTTTTCTATAAAATTGATGTTACACCACCTAGACATTTTGTAATATTTTTGTTTATACGTATCTTTTATAGCCAATTTCTTTTTTGATTATTAAAACTTACGTTTGGTAAGTAAAAT